TGCTGGCCATGGCCTTTGACCGCTATGTGGCCATCTGCCACCCACTGCGCCATGCCACTGTTCTCACGTTGCCTCGCGTTACCAAGATTGGCATGGCTGCTGTGGTGCGGGGTGTTGCACTAATGGCGCCCCTACCTGTCTTCATCAAACTGCTTCCGTTCTGCCACTCCAATATCCTTTCCCATTCCTACTGCCTACACCAAGATGTCATGAAGCTGGCCTGTGCTGACATCCATGTCAATGTCATCTATGGCCTCATTGTCATCATCTCTGCCATTGGACTGGACTCACTTCTCATCTCCTTCTCATATCTGCTTATCCTTAAGACAGTGTTGGGCTTGACACGTGAAGCCCAGGCAAAGGCATTTGGCACTTGTGTCTCTCATGTGTGTGCTGTTTTCATATTCTATGTACCTTTCATTGGATTGTCCATGGTCCACCGCTTTAGCAAGCAACATGACTCCCTCCTACCCATCATTATGGCCAACATCTATCTACTGGTTCCTCCTGTGCTCAACCCCATTGTCTATGGAGTGAAGACAAAGGAGATACGACAGCGCATCCTTCGTCTTTTCCATGTGACCATACACACTTCAGATCCCTAGGTGTCACTAATCAAACTTCTTTTCCATTCAAAGTCCTCCCATTTGGATTTTGATATCAACATTTTGGAAGACAATATTAAGAAAAAAATCTTTCTTAATTAAAACATTTAAACTGGGTCCTTTGTAGAGGAAACTGGGGGTTGTCCATGTGAGAAAGGGATGTGAGGACCATAAACTTCCAATCCCCCTTTTAAAATATTATTTTCTGCTTTGGCTCTTTGAGTACCAGAGAACTTAAGATAAAGTTGTGGAAAAATAGAATTAAAATCTAATAGAATTTTTCCATGAACTTTTTGAAGTACCTTGGTATAATTTTCAAGGCCGTGAGGTGCTTGTGATTGGAGGGTTATTACTTCCCATTTTACCATCCAGTCCACGTCTGAATTGCTTCCTGTGATGGTCTCCAGCATCCTGAGATAAGGGCTAAAGTAGAGTTACCAAACGTTTAAGCATG